TTCTGTTTCGTCCAGATGAGGAATTCGAGCCAAACATTTATCTATCTCTTTTTCACTGCCGCCGCAGCCACATCTAGCGTCCCCTACATTTAATCGCTTTGAGCTATCCTCTCGACGCTGTGGCGTAACGTCGGCATGAGCAGTGGGCCTGCATTTTTCTCTGCTGCTTCTGACGGAACATAAACTTCTTCGAACCCTTCCGTTAGGATTGCGGTCCGCCGTCGGCTCTTTTTGTTAAAGGTAAATTGTGTATCTTCGTGTCAGCTTTTCTAATGCCGAAAATTTCTATACATTGAATACGTACCTCAGAACATGAAAATCTATCTGAATATAATCGATGACTCTATTTGAGCAGTAGAAATAGTTACAATAAAAATGTTCTTCTAGAGTAGGCTAAAGAAGTGTCAATTAATTTCATAAACTTTAGCTGTATTACCCCACATCGTAGATTTAACTGATCAAATGGCACCAACGCAGTACAACCTATCTTTTCTTTGGGCAACGCCTTTTCTTATGCTTAAATGCTATATTTTGAAATCATAAGAAAGCACTTCTGGACGATATTCTTGTTTTTTCCTACATTCGTTCATTATTGTTTGACTTACGATCAAAATAAATGGCAAGAAGTGTTTATGGGAGAACCTCTATAGCTTGAAACAAGGAATGTTTCGTCCTGAGACAATAACGCAGGACGACGAAGGCTTCACCTAAGTGGCAACTGGTTTCTGGTGGCGCGAGCTACCGCTGCGTCGCCGTCAGTAAGTTTTGTGGTAATCAACCGTTGGCGAACGACCTTTTAGGTGTTTCGTTCGCTTGTTTTCTCATCATTTGGTAGGGTGATGGCGGCAGGAGCCGACTACACGCTCGTCTTCTGTTCAAGTGCGCAAGTTCGCGTTTGAGCAGCGGGTAGATTAGGCGGATGGTGGTCCAGACAGAAGCAGGCCCAATGCGGCGGCCACAACACTCGACAGCTTTCGGCTAGAGCAGCAGCGCCAGTGGGGGCAGCTATCTAGCAGTCGCTACGGGTAGCCTGTATGGCGTGTATCATCGATATTCTTTTTGTTGCTTCTGTTGGTGTACTTGCCATAAGCCCAGGTAGTAAGCGTCTTTCTTTCTTTTTGCATATCGTTCTTTTCACTCCGTTCTCGTTCTAGTGTCGGCCATTGAGGAGCCAGTTCCCGGAACTCTATCGAAGCGACCTTCGGAGACAGCGTCGCCGCCAGCAACAACAGTAGCGACCGGTTTCTCGACAGCCTCTCGCGCTTCGACTTTCTCATCTTCGTCTACTCCTTCCATCCTTCTACTATTTCTAGTACACTCTATTGCTTCGTTGACGCTCATTGTTTTTAGGTCACTCGCTACGCGATTTTGTTCAAGTCGTCAAAGGTTAGACAGTGGCTTCCCTAGCAGCTCTGAAAAGCAGTGAACAAATGACAACTATAACTGCGCAATAAGAGGAAAGCACACTCACGGAAAAGAAATACTTAAACTACAAAAGAATAAGAATTGTATGGCAAATCGAGAAAAGTACCAGAAGGAAAAGCTAACGATGGCCCGCGATTCAGGTTATGCTACCTCGTACATCGATCAGGTTAAGACGACGTCCTTCTAAACGGTTCAGCCTCCACTATTGCTCCTGATAGCACTGCTGGGATGAATACGAGCGAACCAGTCTGAGACTCAGAAAGCATAGCCTTAATTTGAGGTATCGCCACGCTTAGTGCTACAAAGGACATCAGCAGAATAGGCCTTTAGGTGCTAATACCACGTTCTTCAAAATTTAGAAAAAATCTTCCTAAAAAAGGAATTAAAAATCGACATTCTGTGGGTAAATGGTCGTTTAAAGGCATCGCCCCATGTATTGGTCGACCCTGGTCCATAGTTAAAAAGAAGTCCTTAATATAACGAACTCGCCTTTTATTTTGCATTAATTGACCTTTTTTTTTAATTTTTAATGCGGATCTTAGATAAGCCAGCTCAGCTTTTCGATTGCTTCTATGATAACGACTTCCTAAGGATTAACTTAATAGGGGCCCTACATGGCTGTTTAAGATCCTTCATTTCACCGTAATGCTTGTATGCGCATTTGCTCAAAACTATTTGCATGCTTGTTCACTCTGGCGCCAGCGAGACTGGGGAGAGGGGGGCGGGGGGAGGCTATATGCCGGCAGCGAGAAAGGAGAACCTCTATCAGCCGCAAGTGGTACGGCCTTGCCTATCGCGACCTGTTTGGGCATCCGCTGCAACCCCAGCATCAGCAGGGAGACATCATTGTCGGAACAAACGCCACTATGCTCTGTAGAAAGACACGTCTCATCTGAATCTACTCGAAGAGATCTCATATCATTCTAGCATGCAGCCGACAGCGCCGGCGGCTGTGGGGTAGACTCTCTCTTCCCCTACCCCTACCAGTACGCAGCACAAAAAAGAGACTCCGAAGTTTCAGTTAGTCCCCTTCAAGCGTATTTCCATCCGGTTTCGAACATTCCTGCGGGGCGTTGTAGCTGGCGCCGTTGATTCATAGGTATAACGCATTAGTTCATACCGATGAAGTGAACATGTGAGCGAGCTTTTTCGGCGACATTGTAACCATCTGTGCTGCCTCGCTGTTCGTGGCGCCAGAGGTCATGCACCGTACCTGCTATTGTGCATTTGTTGTTAGAAGACTAGTTCAGGAAAGTACGTCGAGCTATTGGAGGTCACCAATCGGATCAGCGAGTATGTATGTGTCCGATACTGAGTCGTCAGACTCTGGGACACTGGCAGCGGGTATTTCGCAAAGTTAATCGTCTTGAGAGCGCCATACCTGCTATTATCATCCCATTGAACTTGAAAGAGCCCCCTGGAATGCGATATGCAATTCGAGTTCGCCCATTTTTGTGGGCGCGGACTGCTTTTCTTCTGGAGCCAGCAAGCCACCTGTTGAGCAGCGTGACAGGTTGGACAGGGAATATCGCCAAGCCGCATTATGTATAGCTTAAGAGCTGGAAGCAATTCTGTTAGTTGGGAGCAAAGGCGGAAGAACTTACTTGCCAGGGGGTAACCGCTCCTAAGGTACGACTGAATAAGCAAGGAACCGTTTCATAACTAGCCAAGAAAAACTAGCTTGAAACTATATACATTGGTAATATTGCCTGAGGCTGGAAAACCACATGAAGGCTTATGGGCTATCGTTGCATCAAAAGAACAATTTTTATTATAAAACAAAAAATTATCGTTAGCAGCCGATAAAGTGATGTATTCTAAATAGTAGCTACACATAAATAATTGAACAAAACAGATTCGTTTACTCCTACTATTCTTTTGTAATAGGATGACATGCAGCGTAATTGCGATCTTGCATGTTATGACCTCCACACGTTGAAAATATAGGACGCAAGCAGAACTATATAGATAAAGCAAGCCCAAAGTCTATACCTTTGAAATTAGCTTTTGAAATTGAAATCTCCAAAGCACCGGACAATCTACATAGATTTGAATATGCATGGACTGTACTCCTTTCAAGCTCTCCATGTACATCAAATCTGTACACCATTCCTGTTAGCAAACGTAGCGTCTTTAATAATGATAATAAACAAGTGAGGACTCAGGTCGAGTCGTCTGGGTCTCATTATGTGCAGTGGAACATTTCTTGAATTGAAAGCCGTAAGAACTTGTTCAATGACTGCACCCCGGATCGATCGAAGCACTTGAACGAAAATCAGCTATAAGTACAATTGAAAGCAAGTTACTTTTGGCTGCATTTCGCAGTATAGTCTTGATGAGTTAATTTAAATTTAGTTCAAGTACTCCTGTATAGGCTCAGTTATTTTCTATTCTGTTTTATTTGACTTCACGGAACTTGAGTTCGCTGTGTCCAATTCCTCGCAGTTTATCCAGCGTGTCCCTTTTCGAATAATACCGCTAGCACCAGACACGTTTTTTTTTTCTGATACGATAGTATGAAGCAAAATCTTTTAAACGTTTTTACTTTATTGGTCTCAAGCAATAAAAACCGACATCAACGGAGTTCCAACGTTAATTTGTAACAGAACGACGAATACTACAACAATAACTATTCTAATTTTTTTCAAGCTAGAGAGATCCAGTCTAGATTAGGTAATGGCCTGAACCTACAAACCATTCGAACCTGCATCGAATGCTGGTACAAGATAGTAGCATATAGATGGCTGCGATGCATCTGTTCTGGGACTCGATAACAGGGTCGGCCACGTGCCCTAAAGATACGTACCATCTGCTCTTTCGCGTTATCCACTTCGGCTAAACACAGTCCACACCCGGCTTCAACAGGTGGTCTTCAGGCACTGACCAGCTCGGACATTTGCGGCGGCGGCGGCGGCGGCGACGACGACGACGACGACGACGACGACGACGACAACGACAACAGATTTTTCATAGGCGCTGACGCCGCTTCTGAAGCTAGCCTCGACGCCGTATTCGTACGCGACATGAGATAATTTCGAACGTTGGGCCAAGTCTCCGTTCATGGCGGTTCGGCGACGGCACGCTTTTTGTGGCTTCTCCGTCGTCATACATAAGCAAGAGCAGCTTCTGGACCTTAGAATAAAAGGAATCAAGGCCTTTGGGACGCCACATGCCGTGCGGCATACAAGGGAGTTAGCAGGCCTGTCAGCTAGTAAGGCCGGCGTGGGGCTTCAATTTAGCTTCCTCGATTTTTCGCGTTCGCAAATTGATAAGTTTTGTTAGTTGAATTTGCAGTTCAACGAACTATGATATATTTCGGTGAAAGTGACTGTTCAACTTAAGCGAAAAACCCGTTAAGCTGATCTAATGTAGCACTTGTAACAGAAAGTTATATAATAGCATACTATTATGTATTTATCTGATTTCGAAGAGCACATGATTGAATATAGAGATCAATGGAAGAGGCCACGCAGGTAGTGCTCTGGGCAAGATCATAGCTAGCGACACTGTATCCTAACAGATCAAAATATTGCTTTGGGTGAACGAGGGATTTTAAGCTATTCTACTCGGTAAAAGCCTATAGAAATATATACCTGCTTTAAGACTCCCAGGCGGAAAGTGTACACATACTTTTGTACGAAACATTATGAAAAGAGCTATCATTTATTATTATTATTATTTTAACGACAATCATTTTCTTTTTCAGCTGCATTTTAATTTTATCTGGGCTTGACTTTCCACTATGTGATATAGTACACGAACGAAATAAGCACTCAAGCTGACCGTATATATTCTAGTGATTATACAGGCTCGGTTCATGTAGTGAACTGTATTACCACCGGGCCACAAAATCTGCGTTTATTTTGTATCGAATATATTAATATATATATATATATACATATATATAACAAGTTGAAACAACATTGACAATTACGAGGGCAACCATTATTATTTACAAAATAGCCGTTCTGGTGTAACGGAAGGCATCATGCAGAGCTCTACACTTATCAACATATATGGTACAACATATAGGATATGGGCGTATATACAATACGAAGCGTCTTTACTGTGAACCAGATTAGCATTACGCGATTCTGGACGTTTTTGTTCGTGCACCATCCATGAGAAGCGCCTGCGTCACTTGGTTAACACCGGTGGAGAAACTCTCAGAATCTCCTTGAGTTAGAGCAGCAAGCGACCTGAAATAATTTCTGAATTAGAACCTTTCCATTGGCGTCTACCTAGATGTGTTTAGTTACCTTGTTCCTAAGCGTGTCCGTCTCAACGAAGTTAGATAACATCGTCATCAAAATATAGTGGCGTAATCATATATATATATATATAGATATTTTTTTCACAGGGGTTTATATATAGGGTATAGGTTTTCATGGGAAGGTAGCGAGCAGCAAAGCCTAACTAGACTAAAACGGTAGTGCGTTAAGTCAATGTTTTTCATTTTCTCAAGCGATCTATTCGATCTCCGAATTTCCATTATGATTTTAACATTGGAACACTTTTACCGAAAAGATAGTGAACTTGCTAACGGTTACATATATTGAAGTCAACCAGTCGACATACGTCATGGTACTAACAATCATATGGGAGAATTTATCTTTTTTATAAGGAAAAAAAGCTATTAAATGTATAATAAATACTGACCGTATGTACGCTGCTGCGATACGTAGTACAGCTAATTTAGATAATTTCTGCTGGTCGCAGTTAGATGGTACAGCCTGCCGCAAAGCGTCGAAAGCCGCTCCAATCGTGTGAACCCTTGACCTTTCCCGTGCATTAGCCTCAATCCTGCGCAGACGCAATGAGTCCAGACTCTCCGGGCTTTCACTATTTCGAATATTGGCATCATCCTCGTCCTTAACAGTGGATGGTTTAGATCTGTCAGTATGTCCCTGAACTTTCCTCACAGCGAGTGCGCGAAGTACATTGGTCTCCCATCCTTTCCGACTGGTTTTCTGGGATTTCTGATATTGTACATGCTCTAGCTCTATGCCATTCTCTTTATTATCATGATTAGTTTCGAGTTTAATTTTGAGCAATTTTTGCGTCGATTTCGGCGGTTGATTTCTGATATTTAGTTCGTGACGACTTTTGCTTAGGTCAACAGCGATCAAAGTTTCTGGCTCGATTTCTTGCCTGAGACCTGCCTTGTTAGCTTGACAGGTTAGGTGAGTTGGCGAAATCGCTCGACGTTCATCGGCGACTTTGGTAGACGTTTGCCGAGTTATCTGGCTTACACTAAGCCTTTGCTGACTCCCCGACTGGTGATCTGAAGAGATCCCAGAGTCTCCGGAAGACGGTCTGTCTTCATCCAAAATATCTGCAAAGTTTTTCGGTGGAGCAGCCGCTTGTCTATTTCCTCGATGAAGGTGGTGTTTTTTAATTACACTAATTCCGTCGTCTTCAGGTAGAAGAGAATCTGTACTTTCCAACGAGTCCAAAGCGGTTGCCTCCGGTTTCCATCGGTCAGTAAAGTCCTTAGGTAGAACGACAGTTTGCTTGTTTTTAAGCTGAAGACGGGCTTTCTTGGCAATATTAATCTCATCTTCTTCCGGCAGGAGGGTATCTGCACATTCTAGAGCATCTAATGAAGCTGCGCGCTGTTTCAGTCGACCCAAAGCCATGCTGGGCTGCTGGCGCCGTCACCTCTCAACTTTGAGCCTCCTAGTTATCACTGTCACGCGTGCTGATCATCAACGTGTTTCCAGGCAGTAAGATAGAATTAAATTTGGGTCATGATACACCCAGAAAAACGCTATCCAAGTTGAACTATCGAGTGCATACAGGCACATGAGTTAAATGTCCGTATCCAGCAACAGCGGGTTTCGTACATGGGCATGCTATGGGTACACGGGTACTCTGAAGTGCTTGTAAGAGTTATCGAGCCACCATGTTGTCTCTTCAAAAACCGGGTACTAGGAAAGGGCACCAACAATGAGAGGGTGAGAGGTTCCTACGTATATTGAGAAGGCCTATCAAGGGGTGGATCGACCACATCTAGAGCCATCCATGTACAGCGTCCTCACCGGCAACGACAGGGTGGAGCAGAAGTACAGGCACGAGTAAGTTATGTTGACATTTCAATGACCCAATCGAAACACTGCCAATTACGATAGCAGAGATTACTTAAGACCTAGTAAAAATACATTTACATTCTCGCTGTACGCAAGCTAAGTAACGTTATGAGCTTTTAGTTCTACGCTAGTAGTTCTGAACTGCATATAAATAGCAAAACTTGAATAAAGTCCAATTGCGATGCGGATATTTGCTCTTTTGTGTTGCGGACAGACAATACTGACACAAATATGAAACACGTGAAACAATCGAAATATGTAGTACGTTTTTTTTTTATTAGCGTATAGGTTAACTATAAGGAGTAATAGATGTGTCATATTTTTTTTCTGTAGACTTACGCGAAGTCGTTTTGCTCGTACGAGCAAACGAACACACAAAAATAACGCGACAAATCGTACAATAAGGACATTTTCTACAATGTAGAAGCCAACATGTGGCCATGAGTATAAAACCATTCAGCGTATATTGCTTTACCTACCTAAGGGTTGTGACGGTTAGATTGTTCATTATTGCTAACGTCGTCGCAATAATTTTACAACAGTCTGCTATGGTCATCGCATAGCGTTGCTGCTGTTTAGTCGCTTATGGTAGAACGCCACCCAATTTTTAATACCATCTTTGAATAATCGTTTACCTGATACTGTGTAAATTACTAGCATTATCTTCGTGGATACAATGCGAATCTAAGATGTCCTTCTGACAACTTCGCCCACTTCATGAAAATGGCAGTCTGTTGAAACAGTAGTATCTTGTTAATGTTAAAGGCGATGATGTGACCTCAGTAAAGAATTGTTAAAAAATTCGAGAAAAAACATTTCTCCCCATGTCTGGGAGCCAAAATGCCGGCTACGAACACGATCAATAATATGCTGTGGAATCAGGCCTTCAAAAAAGGCCGTAAGACTGATTCTTCTTTCATTAGAAGATTCGGAGCTGTTTTCGAGCAGTCGAAACATTGGCCACTAGTCACCATTTTTCCAAATGTGCTAGTGTTTTTGTACTCAATAATGTCTGGTGATTTGAGTGGTCATATTGTACAGACACTTCACAACCTTTGCCGCTCGAGATTAGAGCAATGTTTGCGATATTTCTACACCTAAACGTTGGCTTCCTAAAATTCTCTAGTAGTTTTCGAAAGAGCGTTAGCTTTTGAGGCATACCTGTTGAACTCCGCCATGTTTTACGGTGTAGATTTTTCTATTGACAATCATACAGTTATCTAGGCTGTGTGTAAGACATAGAGACTGAATCACCAAGCATAAGCTAACTCGTCTGACAAACGGTCGATGATAAAATATGTTATAAGATGAACAGCCTTAATAATAATTTTCACGCAATATTTTAACAACGACTCCGGAAGGTTCCCAAAAGAATACTTTACGAAGAAGTTTTTTTTACTTTGTGGTAACTTGCGATCTTGCCATAGGGAAACCGCTACGGTAATACACTTTACATCAGTTCCCGTTACGTGCCTCTATGCATGACACGTGCGGGTATTATATCAGTATTGCAGATAGAAGTATCTCGTGTTCTCTTGTGACCAAGTGCCCAATCTCACAAGGTTCTTCAACGAGCTCTGTAACACCTGCGGTCCATTAATAAGCAGAAACTTATCTTGACCGAGCGGTGATCTTAGAGCTCAAAATAATTCACACCATATGGCAAGGTAAGAATAACGAAGCACTGGAAGTTAACCTTTTTTGTTGTTGTTACGCGTATTGTCTGCACGTTAGTGCAGGCTGACTATTGAGGAACCGTTATCTGATAAATGTCGAACCATTCAATTGTCGATTAATGATCGTAGAGCTTCTGTTGTGTTACTCTGGTCCAATGAAGATTAATTGGTGTGACAGTGCTCCGAGTGGAAGGATTCATAAACAACAATGTTCTTCAATTGAGGAGAGAAACAAACGACGATGGACAAGTGATTACCCTTTTGGAAACGGCACCCCATGGTGCGCCTTGCAGTTTCTCGATTCACATACATCTAACGATTCATTGCGGCTATATAGACTTATATACACAACTGACTACGCTTCCGCGTATAGTTTTCATGAAGCTAGCGTGATACATTACTGAGCTGATCCTTAGTTGTCGTATAGCATCTCCAACGATGCTCTGTATTTGCCGCAGCGTGACGCCAGCTCATCAGATCGTCTCGCTTAAAAGGAAAAGGCTATCGATTCGTAAGTAACTGGTAGCGTTAAGTGCGATTCTAATTAGTGAGAAACACCGGAGACGATCAGAGTAAGAATATATTGTTGGATAATTAGCTTGCAACGTCAAATCAACTACTACGGATCAATGTGACCGCTCGCTGTTTTTTTTTTTTATAGTTCATATATTAGTCATTTTTAGCCAGACATTGACCTCTACGCCATTGAAAATCTATATCTTATTATGATACAACAATTTTTTTTTTATTAAAGATCAGTCGCCGTAAAAATAGATGTACCGAAAGCAAAGCATTGGCGCCATTGTCTCTATTAGTACCTCTTAGAAAGCGCTAGCGAGGCTTCTCTATAACATCGTTGCTTTTCTATCCTAAACTTGTACATAGATAATATATTGGTTTCGTTCTATTAAAATGCAAAAAAATTATTGCTTGGTTGATAAAATTGGGATGTTTACAGTTAAGTATATGATGATCGTGTCCAAGCATGGCCTTCATACTAAATGCTAACGTAAAACGAATAATTTTACTATGGTGGGGTGCCTCTCTGTTAACGAGATAGCGCAAATAAAATTAAACTTCTTTGTTGGTCAATAGTCTTTGTTAGTTCAAAAGTCGCCTTGTGCTACCCGTGTACAATCTGTCCTTTTTAGGTGTCAATGGTCGAAGTAGATGCCCTTCTCGGGCGTGGCGTACCGGTATTTTCGCATAATGTTTCGTGAGGCCACGTAGCTTTTAACACTAGAAAGTAATTCTGAACAACAATTTTACATGTATTTACACTCATTCATAGATTCATTTTTGGTGTGCTTTTTATTTAGTAAAAGTACCAGTAGGTTTTCCAACGACGTTCAATTGCCAAGGCCGACCTCTGGCGCAGTACTGATAACTAAAAAAAATTAAAATTTCTAATTTTGCCTTTTACGATTAGCAACAACTATTACTAGGCGTGCTCTGACTCGGTTAAATGCACTAGTTATCAAAAGCTTGTTCTACAAATAAAACAACAAATCCGTCATTGTGCCTTTGTCCTCGCGTAATATAAATGATGATATCGTCGAAAGCCATCCGTATGTCACTCTTGAATTTGATGATGGCCGTCAGAGAGGATGAAGGGGCAATAGTAAAACGGGACAGAGTTGATGTCCTCGAAAAGGGGCGATACGTGAGAAAAACAATACGTGAGCTTGCCGCTTGTTCGTTAAGTAAAGCTTAGTTTTTTTAACACTATTCTGACTGATTCGCTGCTGAGCTTGCAGATGTTGCGTGTCTTAAGCTATACCCTCGGATGTGTGTGCCTTCTATCCGTGTCCTGTCAAGGTCTCATGCAAGGCCTGCTACCGCTAACCGCTGTTGGATTGGCTGGCCTCAAGCTTTACTTAGGAATGCATTTGCTTGGAATGGGAGCGTCAATGGTCGGTCGTCAGCTTCACGGCACATTAGTTCCCGATCAGGATGAGGTAAGTGTTGATCTATTGATAAAGTTTCATTAGTTGGCTTCCTGACACTTAATAGAGCTGCCTATTGAGACACGCCATCAAAAGTTTTTAGTTTCTGATCGCTGTCAGGTTTTTGTTTTTCAACCTGACATGCTAGCGTCTAAGAGACAGCTGAATCATATTTATAGCAGACGCATAAATTTTCAAAAGATAAGATGTTTTTCTGATTCAATCGTATTCTAATCCTTATAGAACACAAGCGCATCCGAAAAAGCTATGCTAAGCTAAAGCTTCTTAACATTTGTGTGGCATATGGCTTTCGTAGATTGCCATATTGTTTCGCAAATAACAATAATGGTGAGTATGAGTATTTTGAGTATGATAAAAACAGTTGATACTTACAACCCGATACGATAAACTGATGTCCACGTTTGCTTTATTCCATAAATTGGAATATGGCATTTGCTGATCAGGATGATTCAGTAGTATTTACTACAACAAATTCGCCTGAGGAGAAACCTCCTGCAACAGAAAAGACTGCACGGAAAAAGCGTTCGTCCGCGAAGTCTGCCGAACGGGTGAAGCGCACTAACGAACTTCCCAAACTCAACGCTGAGATGCTTCAATTTATCCACGAAATTGACGACGATCAATGTTTCGAGAGGTTCTTCTGTAAGTACAATTAACGAATTATCAGAATCGGTCAAGTGTGCGTATAGATTTTGTATAAGATCTTAATGCTTTTATACGTTCTCGAAAAGCGTAAATGTAAATATAACGTATTGCTAGAATGGCTAGATGCCTCTATTATTTTATAGATTCACATTTCGACCTAATGGTCACGATGACGGTGATCAAGAGGAGAGAAACGAAATAAATAGCACTAAAAGGTTTATGCAAATGTACGAAGTGATATGAAGACATCCAGATTCTGATCTACTCCCAGACGATGCCTAAATTACCCTTATGCATTATTATTATTAGGGTGCAAATACTGTTATACGTATTTCATTGTACAAGCTAGTTAACTAAGTTGAGTTGTTAGTAATGCACACCAGTCATATTTGCATCCGCGCCCTTCATGGGCCCTTAATCTGTGCCCCGATTACCCTTGATGCTTACGTATATATGCATACAGTAATAGAAATCTACGTCATTGAAAATCCCTTGTTCAGTCGGGATAGCGTGCGATCTTATCGCATGACGCGGTTCGCCCTACACATTGAATAATGACTGATATATTTGTATGTACTAGGTACTAAAGTTTCATGTCTGTTTGTTCGTCAGACCGAAGTCGACTTTACGAGGTCAAATTGGGCTGATTTTTGGAGTTTCATTTCAACGAAAGCGCGTAAGATTAAGCCAATTGGGCGATCAACTTTCCCTAAGAGTGTCTCTTTATCCCACAGCATTTAGTGTCAAGTTAGAAACAGTAATCGCGTTTTTGTTCTTTCACGCGGTCCTCCTGCAGGTATCCCATATGAAAACCTTTAGGGGCCGAGGCGGCCATATTTCAATAGGATTTTCGTAGACTAATTTTGCTGACGGAATGGTAGCCGAAGGTGTTCATGGAGATCTTTATGGAGGGAAAGGTTGTTTTCCAACCTATTGCCGTGCTGAACTAAAATCTAATATACATGCCTAACCTAAGATGGATATTTCAGGATGAAAATGGTCAAAAAGTCATTGAGAGGTTGGCGTGGCCCCAAGCCACCCGAATAAAAATGCGTTACGGCTTATTTTTTTGGGCGAATCTCCCACAAGTACTGGTTGAAAAGTTCTAGCGGCTGATTTGGACAACATTCCAGTTGGGCAACCTTTTTCTTGGGACATCCACTAAGGTTTTCTTTGAGAAACAGAAATTTCCTATGCAAAACACCAATTTGTTAATGTCGTGACACGTCTATCACTGAACGTCAAAATTGAAATTTCGCATTAAAAAGAAGAAACCGAATGCTTTAGCTTTCTTTTTGTCTTCTTATTACGTATAAGTTTACGTAAGGGCTATTCTTTATTATTAATAGAAAGCTCTCGATGAGTTGAACGAAGATGCAATGCACACATCTCTATCTAAAAACGATGTCTTTGAGTGGAAATTGCGTAAACTCTACTAGTCGTATCGGTCTGCTTACGAAACACTGCGGTAGTGAAACAACGTCAACGACTCTATCAATCGGCGCTATCCACATACGTCTCGGACACAGTCAATTCAATTAGAAAAAAATCAAAAAAGCCCCGTAGTCATATTGTAGAAATCTCTCAAAAATCAATACATTACGAGCGAGGCAAATTCAGGATTGGCCTTCTTGCTGTATATACCCTTTGGCACCACCAACCCTTGTTGTAAGGTATAGGATAGTAAACTAACTAGAAAAAGTAGCTGGGCAAAGGTAGTTGCGACGAGATAACTGTTACCCCCGTCGCGAGCTTGGAATTAAGCAATGATAAATCAGCTCCTCGAAGTGGACGGAATAAGCTGACTTTTTCTATTTCGAGGAGAGCTGCGCGTGATCTGGAGCCGATTAGATGGTAAATTGTCCACGGAGTGGGTTTATTCTCCCACAGAGTGTAATGCTGATCTGTGTGACAATCATTGGCAATTACCGATTATTTATTTTAGAGAAAAACGGGCACGGAACGAAAGCTCCGTTTAGCGCCATTTTGTGCCAGACACTTGGCATTTAGTTTATGGCAAAAATTCTTTCGGCTACTACAGACGTATACGTATACTTTTATCGTGCTAGGTCAAATTGGTGCAGATCGTGCAGCTTTCGGGAGCTTTGGGACGAATACCGCTCTGCTACTCGATTTCTATATTCCGGATAAGACGGCGTGGTACGCAAAGGTTGGTAAATACTGTTTCTGCTGTTGGCCTTGATTGAAAATGTTCGATATGTTTGCGTAGTAGCATTGAGATCTAACGTAACGATGGCAACATTAGAGTTACTGCGTAGCTGAGTTCGACCGTAAACGGTAATGATAATAGTTATTCAGCCTTTGTTATCTTACTTTGAAAGACACATTAATCTTCTTCTATATATATATATATATATAACATTGTCTATTTGAAGTTATCTAGTAAAAAAATGTAATGGATATTGTTGCATAGAATTAGTGCCGGTTTGTTATAGTAACAACGCACGCAATGCTGACCGTATAGGTCTTAGTCCTTTTATCGTCCGTTATAAGAAGGACAATTTTATACAACAGTTGGTTATCTGTAACGATATATTGACGCACATATTGGGCGCTGTTCAGCCAAAGGCTTGCAAACGGTATCATTGCATTGAAAGATGGCCCTTTAATCTAGGGCAGCTCACCTGGGGAGTCCAGCACAATCATTGGGGCCGCAGAACTGTATTAAGTTGTGTCTCGATCTGCAGTACCCTTAATTCGCAATCGATCAAACATAGGTTACACAGGAGAAAATTTAGTTAAACAACATCTTTTTTCTACGGCTTTTCCGTCAACGGTAGGCAATTAATTATCGCACCCCCTTACTAGGTAGTGTGACACCTCGAACCTTGGACCATAATCGAATTCATTTTGTAGCACTTTGAGTCTTGATTGGAACAAACACGTGCTTGAAAATGTCTCAAAACACTTTTTTCTCATGCTCCTACACAATCGACAGTTTCCATTTGCTTAATGAAAATAGTTCCGTGTTCATGAAGTGCCTGGTGAAATCGATGCTGAACTATCAAAACTACGCAAAAAGATGGATCGAAATACGCGAGCGCTTCCCTGAAAACATGTGCGTGACGTAACTTCTACGTGTAGCGTAAGTTGAACTTGCTGAGTAGGGATAATTTAGGAATAAAACGGACAGCGTGCTTCCGTTCCGAAGGTACTGAAATTTTTCGCACACCGCTAGAACGTCTAGATCCGAAGATAATGTATACCTGGCTTGTTGGGCCTTCAACAGCGTCGAGGTGGCCTGCGCTCAAACAGACAACAGGACTTCAGCAATTTTTTCCTCGTAGCCAGTTAGGCATCTGCAAGTGCAATGAGAGCCGAAGCCGTCGCCAGTTAATAAAAGAATGATAAAGAGAGAAAAACAATTTAAGCGACATCATCGGCGCAGATCAAGCTCCCGCCGTCCCAGGCCCGCACTCGAAGTTGTCAACTAAAGACATTATTTATTTTCAAAGTTACACAGTATAAATCTGTGATGCTGTATCGCTTGCTTATATTGTTTCCTCTGTGGTTTGCATTCGAACTTTGCTTTCTGAAGGGAAACTTTATGATGACACGATTTACAGTCGCCAACGAAGTTCGCTAGGCGTCCTACTAACTTCGAATTCAAGTGAATGCTTAAGGTACAATCGATAAAAACCTCTCGTTGATTTTACAGATTAGTTGTATACGAAGAAGTTATTCCATATCCGATAGTTACATAGATATTTAGCACCTTGACGCAGTCTCTTTCGTACTGCATTTGTGTGCATATGTGTGTATGCTATAGTGTATTAAGAACTTAGAATCGACGCTCGCCGATAGAGTTTGGTAAACGACGCATTTTCTCAATAGAAAAATAATAATCGCAATTTTACAAAAAGTTACATCTAAAATGTGAGTGAATGAAGAAAGTGATTTGGCCCCCGTCAGGAGGTCCCTAATGAAAAAGGTACAAAGTAAGACATGCGTGCAGAAAAGTCTTCCAGTCTAGTAGTTTTAGTTATAATATGCATTTTCGCTGGATACAGGGACATAAAAGATTATACTGAGCATTCTTACTCTATTTTATAGTATAAATATCAATGGTAGCGCGCTACAGAACAGGGAATAATATTCTTTTTTATGACTTCGATAATTCTTTACGCGATAGGCTATGCTCCAAATTTCCAAGTCTGAGTTCGTCATGCTGGATCAGACACGTATCGCCGTATAATACTCTCGGTGTTGAGTGGCTGAAGTAAGTTTGATAGATTTGCGTTTTGTCGGTCACAAGTTTTGTTCGGAAGATTATCACATTTTGTCTTGAGTTAGTTAAAGCCTTTACCAATCACCTTCATCATTCAGATCGTCATCGCAAATGTTGCCGTCGTCATCCGTTCTCTTCAACGATGTGGCCGGCGATTCCAATCCTGTTTGTGCGAACCCGGATGGATTCGATTGACGTTCCATAGCCTGACCTTGAGCGTAACCGGGGTCCTTTATTTATTTATACAAGCAAGACAGCATTGGCAACTTATGAAGTTACACTCTAAATTGTGCTTGAGCGGCTTCCTACAACATATTGTTCGACTGTGAATTTCCAAATTGAAATTGACTTACCATGGTCGGTAAACAGATACCAATTTCAAGACATTAAATTCCCGATAGAGTATCCGTCGTTGAATAAAACTAGGAATGACCAGGTCAGGCCTAAAAATGACTAGGCTCCTTTAATCGACTCCTTATTCAAGCTTGTATATTAAGGTCAACGAAATCGTCAGTTTCAGAGGTGAAACATTGCTATCTTTCAGGCATTGGCGCAGGGACGCGAGTTGCGAAACAAGGAACTTTGTCCCGGAAAATGTAGAAGCGAGGATATACAGAAGGCTGTCAAATACGTCTCAAAACATCTTTTCGATGGGACTTAATTTATTATTTGATAAGGAGCTTTTGAGGAAATCAAATGAAATAATTGGTTAATTATAATTGTATCTGCTACGGAATGTTGGTAGCAGTGGTTTTGTGACGCAATCTAGACAAATTGTATGTACATAAATATATTCAACATAATACTTTGTTACTAGAAGTGGAAATTTCTGCCTCATACTTGTATGTTACGAAATCTGTAGACCTATGTAAAACACAATGAATGATCGATATACATTTGCGTCTGTTTCTTCTGTTATAAATACAAAATCCTATGAGCTAAATTGCTGGCTATATAGCGCGTGGCCAGTGGTCCGCCGTATTCAATTAGTTTCCAGTTAATTACGTCGTTCTTTTTTTTTTAATTAGACGATAGTTTCCGCTTAGAAAGCCATAAATATTATATATCCAGTGATCCAATTACTTAACGAAATGACAATACGTGATTTCGTAACTGGTTAGGACAAAGCTTTAAAAACAAAATGTTTTTAATTTTTGCACGAAACAAAGATTATTCTGTCGTTGTTGATAGCTGAAGAGTACCAGGTACCGTCGAGACGATGAGGAATCGATAGCGCTTCAACAGCGCTTTGTTAACGTTGCCAACGCTAGCCGTAGTTCGCTACAGAAAATCACGTTTATCAGTACTTGAGCTGAAGCTTGTAGATAACCTTGTTTCTTCACACAACGTAAATTAGAGTGAGAATAATATAAATACGTATCGACTTACTTACTTGTAGAGTCGAACAAAATTGCCCCCCAACTTGGGCCTTGTTATTTAGACCATTATTTGGGCTCAAGTTACGTTGAGAGATAGGCGACAACTTCTGCTTAAGGTCATCACTAAAATAATAATTATTTCGACTTTAGTTGATGGCCGGCATCTACGTATACAGACGGCCAGCCAATATTAATATATATGATATGTACAGCCTTTTTTTCAGCAAAATAGCCACGTATTTGTTGATGATTCAAGTGTTATCGTGTGCCTACAAAGGGCATCAATGCAGCGCGAGATTCACACATTTAAAGGTGAGCTTCTGAATTGAAAATTCCTCTAAGGCTCGATACGTCTTAGCCTGAACGGCCGAGATGTCCTTCCGGAGCTCGTAATATGAAGAGTTTTAGATATTATCTTGAGCCTCCGAATCGAAGTAGTATTGCATATCTACAAGTTTCTATAGATGTACATTTATCGACTCTTGAAATATTCAGTTTATTCATGGTAATATATATATAAGCGATTTTTATCGAAGGATGTTATGCACGCGCCATCGGTTATGTAAAAAGTAAATCTCTCGTCTAGAAAAAGTCCTAGTGTTTTATGTCCTTGGTGGCGAAAAATGTCACGGACCTTATGAAAATAAACAAGAGCCAAAAGATCAGAGATAAAGTGAATATGACAAGTGTACCAAAAATTTCTTTTTTTAAGTTACTTTCAACAGTGGACCTCTCCGCAGTTGCTTAGTCAAAACTTCTGGAGAACAATCCCTATGTTGATCCAGCGAACATACGGCTGCCATTTATGTTGTCCTTTTTGTTCCTTAAATGCTTTTTTGATGCATTATTACCTTGTTTGATTATCGTGCTGTTTTCATCCTTAAATCATTTTTATTAATGTACGTTGAATTTATTTTTCGTTACCAGTAACAATTCTAATTAGATTTGGATCAGTTTTAGAGCGATCAAAAGTAAGCCTACATACGAAGTCTTTTTATATATCGACCAGCTGACGGGGCACTCACCTTGCAACCTTTTTCACTCTGGTACACCCAATTTTCAAACTATAACAGCAGCGCTTATCGAAGGGTCTAAGTACTTTTGAAGCATTTCTAAAACTAAAATGTCTTGCTTGTAATTTCCTAAGCCAAAAATACGCTGTGGGAATTGACGCTGCTGCTGCTGCTTCCCTAGGGTAACATAGATTTTTGTAAAAATGTTAGTCTTAATGGTTCTATATTTGGACGCAAAAGAGAAGATCGCGCGAATCGTGAGACTTTCCAGAAATGTTACCGCTTTAGTTCGATGGACGAAGCATTTTTCGGCGATATCGGGATTCATCTTGTTGCTGAAGGTAAGAGTTCTTCATAAATTTTTTCTGTAAAGTGACTTGATAGATATATGTTTAAGAAATATAGGATCATGTGATGAATACGGCGTCAATTGAAAGAGTGAAGAGTGCTTATACAGTGCTTTTTTCCCATTTTTTTTTCCCTTAGTCACAGCACTTGCAACGAGTACTGAACCTCATTAAATGCCCATATATATAAAATGGACGACTTATGCGATATAGTGGCCTAAAAAACTTATTAAAAATTAACCATTGTTAATATGGGCGGTGACGTTATCATTAATATTCGTTTGGGTGGTATAGGAGGCATGGTATAATATATATATATAAGATCAGAAAAAAGAAGGAAGAGTGACGAGCAACGACGTAGTACAATGAATGGATCCTTTTTGTGCGAAATGGCGATGGATCCGCAGCGACAGTCGTTGGCGAGCTCTGTCGTAGCTTATGATCGTACATCTTATAGATCGAAATAAGGTTATTGGATTGAACGTGTGTGTTGGTTTAAGTAAGATGTAGCAATTTGCTACATAATACAGTAAACAATAACCTTGTTTGAACATGCGCGGCCGTGACACGAAGTATCGTCCCGATCTCGTTTTAAATACTTTCGACTCTTTCTTGTGAAACCATTACACATCGTCGAAAGCAACTGATGATCTGACACCGCATGTGATTGGTCAAATTATATTCAGAATTGTACGGAGATATAATTACGCGAGACGGACTGATGTACGCAAGAGATCCGGTGTAAAACATCACCTTTAACGTATAGTACCAATTGCATTTTCCCAGCCGGGCCATCTCGAGAATAAAAGTACGCACTGAGCCTTGTTTTTTAGTTCTGCAGCACTGAAATTCTCCGGACCCTTTTAGCCAACCAAATTCAATTGTACGATAATCCAATTAACACATAACGTTGAGTTGAACACGTATCTTCCTCTTCCTTTATCAACGAATTCTATCATTCCACCGCCACCACCGCCAGTACGCCTCAATAGGCTTTCGAGAGCCTGACCCTAGTCCTAAGCAGTACCACTTATTTTAGGCATATCGCTACAACCGACGTCGTCATAATTCTTAGAGCTGTTTAATTTACGACTATGCCTTTATTGTGCATGTCTACAGCCAATAAAGTAACTCGCCTTATGAGTTAGTTATTGAAAGTGATTAGTAAACTGCGGTTCGCCCTATAAATATGCTAATGATATCAGAAAAAGCCGACTATACACCTATGGCGATATCTCGGCCCTGTCTTGTACTTCGAATGAACTGAAAAATTGTCTGAAACTTTTGAGCTAGTTATTTTTTTTGCAGTTTTCGAGGTTTACATTATATGACCCGCAGCCAGTGCTGAAGGCGTATTTGTACTTCATATTGCTACCACAGTACCGTGTAGATGAATGATTTGTTCTTCGAAATCAATAGAAGGCTATAATTTTGAAACAACTATTGATCGTTTCCTTAGACTCTAAAGTTATGTCAATTAAATTGATATAGGTATTGGAGTTGGCTTGTGTGATAGCGAATAAATACAGTTCGGAATAGAGCTGGCTAGCATAACGATCTGCGTCGCCAAATCTGCCGCCCTATTGAACTGCTAAATTCGAAAAGGTTCAAGATTAAAAGCATCTTCCAGGCATAGCTATGAATAGTAGAAAAAATCCCTTCGACAATTAATGTTCCCTGCTCAGACGGGTCAGAGGACGACGCTTTTATATACTATCGGTACGTTCTGAAATCGAACGCATCAGAGGCTAGTTTATGCTAGTAGGCATAAAAACCTCCGTGGCAGAACGACATAGAGTCTTTGTACGATCGCACTCAGAGGTTTATCAAAGGATTGTTGGAAAAAAGGTGCTGTGCTTGCCAAGCAAACAATCGAAACGAATAAAAGACGAACGAACTTATGACAAACTAGCTTCGCCGATGCTACTGGTTGTCACTAGTCTTTTTTAGTAGTGTTTTTTTATTTTTTTAGTTTAATTACTAGTTTTGCCATAGGCCTAGCTTTGCTGACGCGATGAGGAACTGAAGCACAATGACCCGTCAGTTAGTTTTCTAGCAGCTATCCGTCCCTCCCACAAGTTGGTAATACTATCAAAAGGAAATCCGGCTTCGTACCATAAAGAACAAAGAAGAATCTTGGCAGAATGAAGTGCTTGGGCGCTGTGGGCTAAATCATTGGCGGTCTCAAACAGCATATGTATCCGCGTTTGACTCAGCGATCGATTTTTTATGGAGTTTGACACATTCTCTGTGCCCATAGTATTGTTAAATAATGACATAGTTATGTTATGATGTTTTTGTCCCGAATAGCTGTTAGGCAGCAGGATACTGCTGTATGCTAGGTAGAATTGTTCTGTCGTTAAGGCAAACACGGCTTTATCAGCATTATGAATTAGCTTCGTAAAATTTTCAACGTTCATAGCAGAAGAAGAACAGCGACCGACTGGATACCTCTAGAAGACCTTTTTTACATATATTTCGAAGTTCTGTATTGCTCGGTCAGTCGGAAGATGGCGCTCGCGTCTACGGGGACATATTGGCACCAGCTGCAAGTATAATGCGGTTGATCTACGGTTATATTGGCAATTGAAAGCTTTGTTCTTCTACATGACTACGCCACAGGTACGATATTACTACCCGTCGAAAATGGCAAGCGCTCAGGATGGATCGTTGACGAAGATACATCGTCTAATGCAAAAAATAAACAACTACGCTTTTCTATGATAGTGAACAGTCATCATTTAGCTAAACTAGTGCTCTCGCTTTTATTTCTATTGATTTTCTATGATCTGCGCAAATAAGGCACAATAATGATGTAGTAATAATCATAGATCAGACCTATCCGGTAAAAAATTAAAGACAAATGTACATTTCTTTTTTTTTTTTTAATGTTGGCGTGTTAAGCACTAACTGGGCTGTAGGAAAAATTAGATGGACCATTTTTTAGACAAACCTATGACATTTTCACCATTGGTCTGTCTCCCTACGACCGTCACTTGTAGCTTCCGTTAGGGTGCTCTGCGCTGTCATGTCACGTGCCATCACGGCGTATGAATTATTGTCACACGCACAGAGCGAAGAGAAATACTTAAAAATGATGTTTTTAGCTCTTCTTGTTTCATAAAGGTCTTCCAGCAACT